ACCCATCACATATCCCAACCCATCTCACCCCTATAAAGCCAGCTTGCTTTACTTCGTTCATCCCTTCGTTTCATCCCTTCGTTCCATCCCATCCATCCCATTAGTCCCATTAATCCCATGAGTACCTATATACCTACGTACCTATGTACTTGAGTACTTATAAGAGAATGGTGCGGATGGGTAGTATTGTCTAGGTAGTAAGGTGATTTACGCATTATTTTCTGTTTCTATAGGGTATTGGAATTAGGATTAGACTTAGAAATTAGCGATTATCAGTTAGATTCTTTGAAGTTTGAATACCCCTGTACAGTACCTTCCGTCATTATCTCTAGTAGGCATTTACAAATACTCACTCACAGGCACTCACTCACTCACTTACTCACTAGCAGCCACAACCTCAGTTCATCAATGTATGTACAACCTTCCAATCATTTTATGTAACTTCCATGCAGCCTAGTTATCTATCTATCTACCACCTACCTCCCCCATTCTCCAGCAATTTCATCTCTCATCCCTCATCCCCCATCCCCGCCCCTAAACCTTCTCATACCCCGCCTCCCTCAACCCCACCCCCAACGCCTCAATCGCCCTCGTTACATCTCCCCTCCCCTCATCCATAACACTAACCCCCATATGACCTACCCTAATATACTTGGTCGCAATCTCCCTATGCAACCCCCCCGCAAAAACCACACCCTTCTTCACCAAATTCGGCAACAAATCCGGAATCTTAACATTTTCGGGTAGGTAAATGGCCGTCATACCATTTGCCTGATCCGCAGGGTTTGAGGCCAATTGTTTGAGCCCGAGATCCGCAACTGCTTTTTTGATTTGGAGAGAGGTGGCTTTATGTTTAGCGAAGCGTTCTGAGAGGGGAATGGAGAGGATTTGCGTGAGAGATGTGTGGAGGGCGTGGATTAGTTGGGGAGAGGGGGTAGCGAAGTACGAGGGTTTCTTGGCTTCGTAGTTTTGCATGACTGTTTCCATATTATATTAGTTTCCTATGCATTCTTCATCCACATGCAGAAACACCACTGGAATAGATAGGTATAGAACAAAACTTACTCGGCAACCAATTCTTAAACGAAGCAAAATACGATCCTGGTGGAACCTTCCGAGCCTTAAAGCTCTCAATAGCACGTCCACTATAGTACGAAATGGACAAACCAGCCGGACAACCAATAGCCTTCTGACTCGCCGTAATAACCGCATCCAGTCCCCAATTATCAAACTCGATCTCCTCACACCCCACACTACAAACGCCATCCACCACAACCAACGTATCGGGCGAAACGCGATGCACCATCTCACTGAGCATCTGCAACTCACTCAGAACCCCCGTCGATGTATCTACATGCGTAACCGTAATCAACTTATACTTCTTCTCCCGCAACGCGGTTTCAATCTCGCGCAACTGCGGTCTCTCTCCAATAGGCGCCTTGAGCTGCGTGACTTTCACCCCATACGTCTCAAAGCAGTCGGCGAACGAATCTGCGAAATAGCCTGTATGTAGAACGAGGACCTCGTCACCTGGTTCCGCCAAATTGGCCGCGACGAGATCCCAGCCGAGGGTGCCGGAGCCGGAGATCACGAGCGGTTGGGCGGTGGGGGAGGTGGATTGGAAGAGTTTGCGGAGCATAGAGAGCGTCTCGCTGAAGACTGATACGAAGGGTGCGCTGACGTGACTCTCGCTGTTGTAATTGTGTATATGTTAGTTATGCTTTTATTCCCAACTCTAACTCTAACTCTTCGCTCGGTATAAATGTAAATGTAGCATCACATTACATACCTATAATGGCTCATCGACTGCAACACCGCATCATCAAACTCGATTGGGCCCGGAATGAGCAATGTAGCATGAGCTGGCTGATTCGACATAATGGTAATATTGTCCTGTTCCTCAAGTTCCTTATATTTCGAGCTATCACTTAAGCTTCTCGACTGTACTGCTGTAGAAATCGATAACGGATCCGTTGAAATATGGTTGAGATTGGAATTGGGAATCAGATGTCGTGCCAGAGCAGACAATCTAGCGTTCGGAGCCACGATGTGAGGAATGGCGGGGTACAATACCCGTCTGAAAGCCAGCTTGGAAATTGGGTTCCGTTGTTGTCCGATTGGACGACAAATGTGCTTTGAAGGAATGTTAGGGTAGGATTACCTAGGTAAGTGTTTGGTGGTGATTTATGGTGGTGGAAACAGGTTAATGTTTATTGCAGTGCCGGTTGATGATCGTTACTGTAAAGATGGAGATGATGCATAAATCTCAATAGTTCTTCATAAATAACATGTCATTCACAATCTAGAGTTCCATGTTTCCTCCGAAGTCGGGACCTTTTATGAGAGGAGCTTCATATTCATTGACAGTTTGACTTCACTGAATTGGCGTATGGGTCAAACACAGTATTCAGGATATTTGGTTATAGTTCTGACCTTATGAACAGCAGTCTTATACTATGAAAGCTTCAAATGTGTTTATGGAAATTCATGAGATTCATTGCTCAAGTTGAGAAGAGTATTCTATTTGATGTGACTTTCCTTTCTCCTCGAACCTTAGAGTAGCTGCGCGCGTTATGTGACTTGTGACAAAACTCCTTCCAATGCTTTTCACTATATGCCTACCGTACCATGCCATGCTTATCATACAATTCGTCCTTCCCGCCCCTTCCATGCATCACTTCTCTTGTTCATACATCCTAAAAGTATATGAGGGGACCCACGCTTATGTACCGTCCCTGTGTATATACACGCCTCACTTCCTATTTCCAAAACAATGGCCCCCAATACATCAAGACTTCTTTCGGGTCTGAAAGACCTTTGATACCTTCGATCTAAGAGGCCTCACCGGCTTCGCAGCATGAGCAGCCCTTTTGATAGCCTTCGTCTCCTTGCTTGTCCTCTTCCCAATATCCCAACCCCATCCTCTCAACATCTTCACTACCTTGGGAGTAATCGCTGCGGTCAATGGCACTCGAATGAAAATAAAAGATTTGTGAACGGCATATGCGAGAGCAAGTTGTGTACCAAGACTTGCATCTTTTTTATTTTTTTCCTCGGCTTCCTGTACACCCCATCCAGCCATCTCTAGACCGTCATTAACCTTGTCCGAGCCGGTAATTTCATGTTCGGCTTTTTTCATGGCGGTTCGCCATTCGTGCCAGGCATTTTTGACGGACTCGGGTATCATTTTCTTGACGTTTGAAGTAACAATATGTTCCCATTCACCTAGAAGGATTTGTTAGCCGGGAATGAGTCCAAAGTAGTATGAGCTAGAGCCAGAGCCAGAGCCAAAGGGGATACCTCAATCTGGACTATCCATAGGAGACAAAGCAGAACTCCCATCAACACGCCAATCCCGAATGACATCCCCTAAAATGATTCGAAGAAGAAAACATCTCACTCACCAATTCTATCCGTTCCCAGCGTCCGAACCAATAAATAGCAAAATGGGAAATCCGCCGCAGACAAAAAGACATATACTCCTACCACACTCCAACCATATTCCCTACTCAATTTCCTCATTCTTCCAGATAATGTAGTTTCATCCCCATAGTTTTCTGCCTTTGCCTCTCCATTCCTCCTCCGCCTTGAATTGTGAAAATATCTATTGGTCCTTGTGCGAAGACGTTGAAATAATGTTTTTGGGGGGGGTCGAGGATTCGAAGAGAATGTAAAGTTTGTTGTATGAGGACGGGACTTTGTGCGGAGGGAATTTGTAGGAGTAGAGGTAGAGGATGTTGTTATAGATCGCTGTGGTAGATTTCGCAAAATAGCTGATCTTGTAGGAGTCGAGGTTTGGATCGTAGTTCTAAGAGCTGTCATGAACTGGCGCATTCCCCCAGCCCTTGATACTAATAGTGCTATGCGAAACATATTTGCGCCTTGTTGGTTCCTACTAATACGATGAAATTCTAGTGAAATATCGTTATTTCTTCCAGTCTCACACAACTGAATGGATAAATCGCAGGCTCGTCCTTATTAATCGCCTTATTTCTTTCTCTGACGGTCTTTTCGAAGCTCAAAATGAGGAGACAATCGGGTTCCACAATATCCAGAGAATCCGTCCCAAGGGTTTATTATCTCCTTTGTAGTGAGCTGACACCTCAATTTGTATTTTCAGACTTCAGTCGGTTTTTCCCTTCGAATGTTCATTATCATTCTTCGTCGAAATAAGCTCTCTCTCAGTCATCGTCGCTGATCAATTGTTGATGATGCTACTAGAGTTTTGATGAGGGACTATCAAATTCTGAAGCGGCAAATTCCATGTTTTGACAAGGGGAGCTCTCCCAGATGCATGCATAGTGATGTAAAAGGAATAACAGAAGAATTGATTGACAACATTACATACGGTGATCCGAAAAGACACAATGTGCAAATTAGAGAAACCTGCCCTTGTGCAAAGAAGATATAGTTTAGATATTAGAAACGCTTGTCTTTTCAATATAAGTTATAACGCAATGCAAGATTATGATATGGCAGTAGATAGGCCTCAATCGATGTAGGTACTTTCTACTGAGAATGGGAACAATAAGATTAGTGTTGTACTCGAGTAGATAATTTTATACTCGAGTATCCCTTTCAAGTTCACTTACTCGAGTACTCGTAGAAGAATAATGCAAATATATCTACTCGAGTATCTACTTCTACTTCTAATTCCATCTTTTTCAACCCATCCCAATCCAACATAACCATATGCATTTCTTCGAGATTTGCTGAAACGGAAAGAAAGGCAAATTTATATAGTATCAGTAAAAAGCAAGAGCTTTTTTCAGAAAAGCGAGATAAATTATATATCTAATCTTCAAAATCCTCCAGTTTCAATATCTTAAAAAGAATACTTTGATTTGTATCTACTGTACGAGTACTACCATAGCAATATATGAGGACTTCCTAGCCTAGATAAGATACAATAAACTGAAAATGACTCGAGTATAAGAAAAGCTTTCTCTATGTTTCTTCTTTTCCCCTTCATCCTCTCTCAAATATAATCTCTTTTGTTAATTGAAAATATTCGATTTTATCTTGCACAATTTCATTTCTATCTTCATCTTTTCCGTCTTATATGTGGATATGGGTTATATGTATAACTTGGTATAATGGTGAGTAGGTACTTCATAAGAATAATGGTATCTAGGGTTTTCTATTGTTCAGTTTGATTTGGTGAATAACAGTGTTTTATTAAACATCATAAGATGAAAATGTTCCCTTCTCCAAAACGAAATTATATATTGCAATTGTACTCTTTCACTCTTCTCTGATAACACAAAGCGAAAAGACAGATTGTACAATAACAAGTGAAAGACGGGATGATCCGCTCTAGTGAGGATTAGATGTCAAATTTTCTAGTGACGGGATGATGGGATACTGTATAGATGAAACGAATGCTGTTTTTGATGAAAAGGGAATGATGAGACTAAATGAAGAGGTACGGGTATATCAGAAGCCTGCAACACATATCACGGTAACACATACGGAAGATTCTCAAATAATGCTGCTGCAAAAAAGGCTGTAACATTTATGCACAGAATATCATATGCTCCAGATCACAAAAGCTACCTATATACAAGTTGAAAATATATCCATCAGAAAAAAACCACCCCTACATTATGCCAGTGCCCCCATTCATACCCAACTTAAGAGAGGTACGTAGTATCAACCCATGAAGAGTAGGAGCTACCCAAGACACCCGAGATAGTGTAGGCAGTAGAGTAAGTGGAAGCGAAAGAAGCACGGGTACCCGAAGCACCAGGGCCAGAGTTATCATACTCGGCAAAGAGAACATCACCGGTCCTCGGGGCACTGGTGGACCATTCAGACCATCCGGCACTCTCGATGATGCTGCCAAGGGAAGATTTTTGGTAAGCGACACGAGCATACTCGGTCCATGGACGACCAAGATAGACGGTTTTGGAACCGGCGGTCGAGGAAGAACTGGTGGTGATGGTGCACTTGTTGATGACGTAGAATGATGGGTCGGAGCTAGATGCACGGCCATTGGCGGTAATGCATCCACCACCAGCAGAGGCAGCAATCACCGAGCCGTCGAACCAGGCGACAGAGTGTTGACCGAAGATCCAGTCAACGGCTCCCTCAATGTAGCACTTGGCATAAACTTGGTTACCGGTTTGAGTGAGGAGGGTATCTTGGTATCCGTAGAGACCAACACCGTAGTAGCCTTGCTCAGTATTGTAGGCGGCCAAAGCAATGGCTTGGGAACCCTTTCCATAGGTGTTCTTGATGTTGATGTTGTAGAAAGCGGTGTTTTCTGACAAGTTGATGACGGTTCCGGTTTCTTCGTCGGAGGCGGCTCCGCTCAAGAGGGAGGAGCTGTGCTCAATGTTGACGACATTGTCGGTGTATGAGCTGGTATCCTTGGTGTAGCCGTAGACGGTGAGCTTTCCTTTCAAGGCGGGTATGGTCACTTGTTCCGAGTATGTTCCAGAGTAGATGAAAATACTTTGAGCTGAGGTGGATGTGGTGCTAAGAGCACTAACGGCTTTTTGGAACTAATTGATAGGTTAGCAAAAGATGATTGGCAATGATTGCGCTCTTCGTAACTCACGGTAGAGTAAGTTCCTTTCGATCCGACGGTTAGGGCACCCGATGGGGCGCTTGTACGAGCAGCGGCCAGCACAGCAGCGACGAAAGAACTCAAAGTAAGTAAATAACGCATCTTGGCAATTATATTCTGAACCGACGAGAGAAGCAAATGATTAACTGTAGTGAGTGGGATGGAGCAGAAACCAAAAGGCCAAGACGGACTATTTAACCAACGAAGGTCCCAATCTGAGTGCGTAAGCTCCTGAGGGGGATAATTGTTCATGGAACAATTCCGATTAAACGCCGGGGCGAGAAAAACATGGAAAATTCCCAATAGACGACTTCAGATATCTGTTCCATGAATAGGTTAATGAATGTCTCGTCCATATGACAGGAGCTACTAACCCCACACTTGCACGCACAGTGAACCTAGCTTCTCTGGCGCTCCCTCGCCTCGAAGTACGGGGGCGGCTTAGATGTACATCAGTTATGCTTAGCCAAAAGCCGATGCTTATCCGACACAAACAGTAACGACGACAAAAAGCTCACATCGATGATACAGATAGGTTCGTCGACTTTCTAGGACCTAGTTCGCAGACAAAACATGGCATTAATAAATTTAGTCAATCCGTCACATCTAGTTAACCTGTCAAGCTATTTCTGGAATTCTTTGACAAAGCAATGATTCAACTAGATTCTTTCCTGAAGCCCCTCCTGATCAAAACATGGGTGAGCCGGTAGGGGTGCCGGGAGATGCACGGATGGGTCTCCAGCGCATCTGGATTTTCGACCTGAGATGAATTGTAAGGCCGCCAATGAAGAAATCCTATTCTACCGTATTTATTGAGACATCATATATCAAAGTAGCTCCACTCTGCTTACCGATGTGGTTTACTTTGCGAGATGTGAAATAAGAAGTCCAAATCTATTTCTTTAATTTATATGTTGTTGTTGCTTGTAACAACTTGGCAAAGCTTATTTGATAATGCTAATACGAGTACTGTACCCTGAAGCTAAGTCGATTTAGATTAATCGGATGATTTATTAGAGGCGGTAAACAAGCAATACCTCGATATATATGGAAATAATTGTCCGAATACCGGTAGTGATATGGAGTCTCGGTCCTGTAACCTTAAGTCCTGTAAGTAGATGCAGGTAAATGTAATCTCGGGTCTTTTTGAGAATCGGGACTCATTTGGCAGATTAACAGCGTTAAACGGATGAGGTGTTGAAGATGGGGGTAAGGTTTGTTGTGATATCGTTTTTAGAGTTTGGTACAAAAGTAGCTGCCGGTATTACGGACTCGCCCCTTCCATTGATGGTATTCTACTCGAGATCGAGTACTTGATATTAGTTAAATGTGAAAGTGTGGCTGACAATCTGATTACAGCAAATAGAGTTAATTCCCGTAATGATGAAACTAGATACCTTTCATCATTGGACGGAACAATTATATGGGACTTTTAGAAACATCCTAGACCCTGACATTATGATCCTCCTTAATATTCAAGATCCCCACATCGTTCAAGGGGCTTAACCACACCAATCATAACCTTCTAAAAGTTCTATCAAATTTCTAGTGCATCCGCCGTGTATTAATATCCTCATCAACTCAAAACATCCACTATCGTCCAGTGACATCTAACATCTCGCTGCATCGATCTTGGGCCAGAACCACTCTAAATAATTTACAGATTACGGTACTTCGACATTACTTTGGCATAACTTCCAATATACTTGGAGGGACTTTCAAGATTGCTTCTTATGCTAGATCTAACCTTTACTCTTCTTATTGCTTCGTTTCATGTTCTAAGCGTTCTTTCCCCACCCCCCTCCCCCCAACGAGGTGACATTTTATAGTGAGATCATGAGGATCTCTTCTTTTTTAAGCTCGCACACTGTATCGTAGCAAGGATTGCTATGCTCAAATACGGACCATGATCTCGGAAACAAAGTTTGACCATAACATAAGCAGCGCGGGTTACCGCTGTCGACATGTATTAGATAGGACAATAGCCGACGACGGGATTCAACCGGGTTCCACTTCTCTGGATATTCCCCAAATTTCCATCTCGTCTTTACATATATAAGAAGCTTCTATTACCTTTCCTTCTTTTCTCATCTCATCATCACTTACATTCTTCTCCATACTGTCTAGTACATTCACTCTTTACATTCCTTCAAAACACAATTCTACCCAATATGGTTCAAATTATCTCTTCGGCCTTGAGCCTTTTTGCGCTGGCCGCAGCTGTCTCTGCCATGCCAGCACCAATGCCAACCGCCGCACCAAACGTCAACGAGGCTGTTGCCCTCGAGAACCGAGGAACTGCTTGCACCTTTTCCGGCGCTTCGGGTGCCTCATTGGCCTCCAAGTCCAAGAAATCCTGCGCCACCATTGTCCTGAACGCTCTCTCCGTTCCATCCGGTACTACTCTTGATTTGACCAATCTCAATTCCGGTACTCAGGTTACCTTCGAGGGAACCACCACTTTCGGTTACGAAGAATGGTCCGGTCCTCTCTTCTCCGTCTCGGGAGCTGACATCACTGTTACCGGAGCTTCAGGAAGCGTACTCGATGGCCAAGGAGCCAAGTACTGGGATGGCAAGGGAACCAACGGTGGAAAGACCAAGCCAAAGTTCTTCTACGCTCACAAATTGACTGGTACCTCCAAGATCTCTGGTATCAACATCTTGAACTCCCCTGTTCAAGTTTTCTCCATCAACGGTGCCAAGGGTCTTACTCTTTCCGGCATCACCATTGACAACTCTGCCGGTACCTCCCTCGGACACAACACCGATGCTTTCGATGTTGGTTCATCCTCTGACATCACCATCTCCGGTGCCAACGTTAAGAACCAAGATGATTGTCTTGCCATCAACTCCGGTACTGGTATTACCTTCACCGGCGGAACCTGTTCAGGTGGCCACGGTCTCTCCATCGGATCTGTCGGTGGCCGTTCCGACAACGTCGTCTCCGATATCGTCATCGAATCCTCCACTGTCAAGAACTCTGCCAACGGTATCCGCATCAAGACCGTGTCTGGTGCTACTGGATCCGTTTCCGGCGTGACCTACAAGGATATCACCCTCTCTGGCATAACCAGCTACGGTGTTGTCATCGAGCAAGATTACGAGAACGGATCCCCAACTGGTACCCCAACCTCCGGTGTTCCCATCACTGATGTCACTCTCTCCGGCATCAAGGGTACTGTTGCATCCTCCGCTACCAACGTCTACGTTCTCTGCGCCAAGTGCTCCGGCTGGACTTGGGATGTTGATGTCACTGGTGGTAAGACCTCCTCCAAGTGCAAGGGTCTCCCATCTGGTGTCTCTTGTTAAATTCCTTAACATTGGAGCTTGTAAATTCTTGATCGGGCTAGACAAGAGTTATTAGAAGGGGGTGAGGGGGATGGTGTTTGAAATGGCTGCGCTCGGTGGCCGAATTCTTTGTATATATAACTTCTACTGTCCATATAGACTCTTCAAACAATGATTTGATTACCTTTCAACTTTGCTCCCTCTGCATAATAAACTTTTCATTCTCGGTATTTGTGCAACTCCAAATTTCGGTTGTATTTACCAACACTCTTGCGAAATATTCGTTTTTTTTTCAATCATTTTCTTGTCCTATAATACACTAATGAAATATACTAGTTCAAATAGCCAAAGTCACAATTTTGATTCACTAATTTTGTGATTTCGATATTTGATGGTAGCTTGTAGCTCTCCTATATATCGATGACTCGATTTCATATACATAAGAGCCGGTTTAGTGTTTAGAATTCTCAAACTTTGGATCTGCCGGATGGCTTGCATTTTTCCTGACTTCAAACTCAGGACTTGTATTAGATAACACTACAGAACTAACAATCCAGTGAAAGCCTTACAAAGGTATAGTTATTTGGTATCTAGATTTTTGAAGGTGAGTTCTATTGTGAATTCTTCGGAACTGAGTTTATTCATTCGTTCAGTTTTCCAAAATGAAAGAGTTTAAAACTTCTAATTTTCAATCTTGAATTAATGAATCAATGAATCAAGAAATATTTTAATCTTATAAAAATAATATCATATGAGAGCTAGTTATTATAACTATCTAATCACTGGTGTGACGGAACAGACGGCTCTCTTCCGCCCACTGGCTCATACTACATATGTAGCATGATATGACGGCTCTTTTGGACCTTCCTTTCACAGCTTAAAGCCCTAGCTCTATAGCTCTAGACCTAGGCATCTTACGCCTAGGACTCTTTCACCCTTTTGGCCTAGCCCTTATGGCTCCCAATACCTGTATATATAATCCTCCTTTTAGCATCCTACATAGCTCTTCACTTGTAGATTCTAAGTACACAATCGGAGTCCTGTTTATACCCTTTTGGTCACAACTGGCAACAAGTTTTAAACGATCTTTATAGTTGTTTCTCAAGCTATTATCAAGTGAAATTGAAACCCTTTAAATCTCAGGCTCTTTATTTTACCTAGATCGACAACGATTACTTTATCAAACCTCTAGACTTCTGTCTAGAATGAAACAGTATATATAGTAATTTAGATAATAAAACAAGGGCCTCAGGCTTTATATACAAGAGCACTCGAAGGCTTATACAATAAAGCTGTATAAGCTAATTACTAGTAGAACCATATCGAGCTAAGTAAAGGAAAACAATAACAAGAAAATAAGTGGAGAGCTCAGGGCTAGAGAAACTAGCCGAGCTACTAGCCGCTAAAGAGAGATACTAGTAAGCTAATTCAGAATACTCAAAATCGATATTAGATATAGCTTTCACTCAAATCCTACTAGCAAGCTAAAATCAATTGCATCATCTTTACGTTATTATGCACACTTATATATTCAAGTTATTATATATACGAGAAGATATAAATAATGAAAGATAATAATAGTATTAAGAGAGTAACGAAGATCTACTAATACTATCTCTACTTCTTTTCATTTCTCTAGTACTACCTACTACATACTAGTATGATCTTATTCTATTACTGAGTATATATCTTCAAGTTAAATATAAACATCGAATATCAAATCCGAATTCAATATTCAATATTCACAACTAAGCACTCAAAAGCTTGCAAAACCAATCTTTCCCATAACAGATCTGTCGGAATATAGATTATATGATACTAGCGTATACGCTAGTATGCTTATAAGGGCTCTCTCTTCCATAGCTTTCATAGAGAGTCGTCGTTAATAAGAATATTATAGGAATAGCTATTATTGATCCGATCAACCCCCCTGTGGTGAACCAATATTGATCAATAATATCATTATTTGATATCACAGATTGGTAAGGTGATTTATAAAGAGATCTGAGCTCTCAAACTAAACTAGGGTCTATGTATCTGTCCTTTTGCAATAGACCCTACCTCATATATTGAGTTTTCAGTGTACTAAGAACGAATATCAGATTCAAGCCAGAGAAACACAACTTGAAGTCATATATCTGTCCTTTTACAACAACTTTACATTGTGTTACCCTTGAAACTTGCAAACTGTATACAAGAAAAAACTGTATATCTGTCCTTTTGCAATAGTCTATTTATTATAGTTTTCATATTCAGGAAAGTTGTATATCTGTCCTTTTGTAACAACTTTTCATTGTATATTTAGTTATTATACCTTGGATATTGAATCAAGGCCTATATATCTATCCTTTTGTGATGGATCTTATCTCGAATATTATTGTTTATACTTGTTGGAATATCACTAGGGTTATAGCATGAGGTGTGAGGTATAACTGTAGTAATATATTATATGTGTAACCTTGTACGACTAAGGAGGTGTTGATATGCATATATATGCGTGTGTCACGAACAACAAAAATCAGGAAACTTTTTCTTCGAAATACACCTCTTTAAAGGTCGATCTAGACCAAAAAGATTAAAATAAATCTATTGCAATTACCCCCAAGCGATTCTGACCAGTAATTGTTGTGATACTGTTATTGATGCTTCAAAACACATATATATACCAAAGTCTATTATAACTTAATAATAAATCTACAATTTTTCATATACAATTTCCTTTAACTCTAACAAATAATCTATATATTCAAAATAAATGAATCCATTATAGAAATGTTGTCTAATATTATTATAATCCTGAACATATATCCAACAATTACTTTGGGTATACCCATTCAAATCAATTAATCACTTTTGCCGTTTCAAACTCAGATGGATATATCCAGCCCTATCTCAGAAACTATTCAACCCTTCAAAACAGCTTTCAGAGC